TTTTCATCTCAAAACACTACAAAATACATACAGAGGTTAGTCAGCCTCCAGAAGCTCTTGCTGCAGATTAATTTCTTCTATAAGACACTCAGTTCAGATGAGGCATGAGCTTCTCAGCTCTTCCAATTTAATGCATTTTGTTTGCACAGCAGAACACACATACTGGATTCCTTTTGGAGAAAACTTAAAAGGGAAAAACTATTTCCAACTGCTAGATTTAATTCAGACAAGCTGAGTTTAGTATAAATAAAGCATACAAGATGAGTATAATATGAACTTTGGGTCCTCAGCACCAAATGATATACAGAAATACTCTAATTTCATGACACAACATGCTGATGTGAATGCAGCTCCTCCTCTTCTACTGCTCCTTTCTATCCCTTCTTATCATATACATAAATAGACTTTAGGACTACATCCCAAATGTTACCTGAAAGTGGAGTCATTAACTTCTGTTTGTATAGAACCCTTTCTCTCCTACAGTAATGCCTGACAAAGGCAGTAGTCACAGGTAAAGTCTGAAAGAACATCAATAAACTGACAAATAAATTGTTAAGTAATTAATACTTCAGGGCATAAACCTCCACTTTAACAATCAAGTAATTTTCTGAGTTTTCTTCAAGCTTTGCACAAACATTTCACATTGCCTAACAATGTGCCTGTACAGCAAAACATCACTTCTGTCTTCATTTTCTGATAAAATAGAGCTCTGAAGCAAAGGTTTCTTATAACATTAAGTAGAAGAAGCTAACATGTGGAAAGTATTTGTAAATTAGCAAGGTTCCCTCCTATTTGTTAACCTTCATTTAGCAATGCATGGGAGACACACTGTTGCACACTGTTACAATGTATTGTAAACTGTTTTGAAGATTTTTTGGTACTGTTTATAAATTCTAAGTCACACAATTTATAAAAGAAACTTCAAGAGGTACAAAAAAACCTCATAACCTTCCACAGAGCAGAAATCCACATATCTACTGACATAAGGGACAAAGCTCCCAGTACAAATACTTTCCCCATATGTTCTCAATTTTAGAGGAAGAAATCGGCGCATGTCCTTAATAACAAAAACACGGACAACACAAGTTAGGGAAGAGATGCTTCTTGAAGCACTGCAACTCAGTTCCACAGTGCTCTCAACATTTCCCAAGCTCACCTTTGAAATCCTATCCGATTTCTTTTTCTCAACTGTACTGGCTAGCAAACATATATGAGTGATGTCAACAAAACACCCCTATTCCAAATTAAAATCCCTTTTGTCTGCGTAAAAGAAATAGTCACCATCACACTGCTCTCACGATTTCTCTGTTATCCTATATGTCCCCTCTTACCTTCCCTTCTACTGTTGACCAGCAGGCAGTTCAATATCATTTTAAAGGAAGATATTCTGCATGCTTGAAAAGGAAACACCTCCAGATAACCTGGAGCACAACAAACATGTACCTGGGGGGGAGAGTCAGTCCAGTTCAAGTTATTACCACTGCTGACTTGAACTAATTAATGGAATGCAGATATTCCAGGCAAGTGTCCTATCATTACATGTTATGAGAAGTTTCTCTCAATTATATGTTCTATGTACAAACATGGGAAATGATTCCTCTAGCAAGCATTGTGTTTTTAGGCCTATTTGGAAAATTGTTCTTATGGAGTGCAAAACAAATGGACAGAAATTGAGGGGCCTGTGCACCTGGGAGGCATAACTGTGTCTTTGAGATCTGAGTCTTAGTTTCCTTCATTAAACTTCACTAGATTTCATTAGCAAGCAGCCACTGGTCTTTTTTTCCTTTTTTTTTTTTTCCTCCTTTATTTTATTTTATTTTTTTTTTAAAAAACCATATACCACATTCCTCCTGACACAGACTACTAAGGTAATGACAGAACTTCTTTAAGTAGCTGGCAACTCTTCTGTAATTTCCTTACATAAATACCAATGACTCAATGGTTTTGAAGTTTTGGAAGTTCTCATTAGCAGTGCATACACTTTGCTCACTAATAAACTTCCTGTCCAGGAACATTCATGACAGTGCAGCAACATTGTGAAAACAAAAAGCCAACAACAAATTGACACGCATGCCATTAGTAACACACTCCACACAAAGAAAACTCAATAACTTACATAGGTAGAAATTTTCTTTAGATAACAGGTTTGGATAGGAATTGGAAAACCCCTTTGAAACAAACACCCACCAATATCTACAAATCATCAGTAGAGTTTAACCCCCCCCCTTCCCCCCCCATGAAATTGAGGTTTGATTTAAACAATGCATTTGCAACTACATTTGACTGCTACCTACTACTGTGAGATGAATTATATAAGGAATGGCTAAAACACTACCTAATGATATTAGCCTATGATGAACTAAAGACTGACAAGAGAACACCTTCAGATTTTTATCCAAATGAAGTACCTATGCTTAAGTGCTTTACTGAATTGCAGCCAGGGCATTCATTCCTTTGCTGGATTATGCTGCAAGATACAGATAATGCTGCTGGAGTGCTTGATAGGTGTTTCCAGGAAACAAATTACTTTCTGTTCCAATCAGCACTATACATTTAAATGCACTAAACAGAAACAGGAAGAAAAAGCATATATCTGACATGCAGATATTCAGGTAAGAATATTTCAAGAGTAATGCAACGATTTAAGTTGGAAGACATCTTATGCAATCCCTCTGCTGAGGCAGGGCCATTTAGAATAGGGCACCTAGGACCTCATCCAGGTGGCTTCTGAATATCTCCAAGGAGAAGACTCCACAAATGACCTCACCAGCACTCAGCAGAGGGAAGAGATCATCTCCCCCTTGACCTGCCAGCAACACTCCTCGTAAAGCAGCCTAGGATCCCATCTGATCTGATGGGTACCAGAAATGCACAATCTAGAAGTACTGGAGGGCCTCGAGAAAGTTCCAAGGTTGCTTTTCTAGCTCAAGTCATTTATCTTGAGGCCCTAGAAATAAAAGTTTTAAATCAAGAGCTCCTTAAGTCTCAAGGACTACAGCTGGCTGTGATCCTTCATCTCCCTCTGAGCTGAGATACCACTAGGGGCAGACTTCCAAGATCAGCACTGAAGAAGAGCAGCCCTTTATGGGACAGACCCTGTTGTCCACTGAGAGCCCACAAAGGGGCAGGCAAATAATTCACCAGGAGGTACAAGTTTAGAAGCCACCCCTTCAGTACTCTGCACACAAATTTCAAATGAACCTTGCCATTCTCAAACCTTTTTAAGTCACTGTATTTGACTGTAGTAAATTTCATTGAATCAAGATGTTAAATTGGCCAGTGATTGAGTGCCAATTGAGTCACAGGGTTAGGTAGTACGATTCTTAGTATTGTAAAAGTATTAATAAACACTAAATCGCTGCCAAAACTAGAGCTGTGTAAGAATCAATCTACAACAACTATTCAAAGGAGCTGATGTAGTTTTCCAAGGGAGAAGTTGGCTTCCAGAGCATTGTTTTATGTCCTTCCCTAAAACCAGAATACAACAGAACTATATCCCATAACTAATAGACTGAGTTCTGCACACATCTTATGTCTATGAGCAACTGGAATGTTATTTATGGGTAAGGGCTCCAGTGATTCTGAGGAATACCTTTTTTTGGTTTGAATACTGCAAAAACTGCTGATTTTGGATCTGAGAAAAGGTTTTTTTTTCCTATTTACGCTTCAATAAGTAAATATATGAACGTGTGAACTTCTGTGAATTTGCATTTCTCTTTCTGAAGGTCTACTAAAATCCATTTTTAAGTTTTAATGACCAATGCTGCTGTGGGTGGAAGAGAAAATTCTCAGCTTCATCTTTTATGAGATTTTTCAGTTCCAGAACACGTTAGTATTATGCTACATTTTACAAGTCCAAAATAACCATAGAAAAAACTGGACAGAGAAATACAATCTTATTATCTCAATCAACTAAAATCTTGGTTATTAGAAACTTTGGCATGATATAACAACAGCAACTCATTTTGCAGCTTTAAATACTTGAATATATGAAAAGGAGGATGTAAAGGGCAGTGACGGTTACGCCAGGCTATTCAAGGGAATATCATCAGAAACGAGCCACAACTGAAATAGAGAAATACATCAATATTTGGAAGTCCTAGTTCTAAATTAAGAATCACATAATTGATGTCAAAAGTCTCTATTCTCTAACATCTGAGTTATTTTACAGGTGGGCTAGATGACAAAGATGGCAGCGATACCCTGAAGCATGTTAAAAATTCAGGCATTCAAAAAAAATTCACTACTTCTATCTAGAATGTGCTCTTTGGTACCAAAGAATGCAGAAGGTTCCAGCAATCAGTTCTGAATTGCATACAAGAAGTTCTACTAACACAGCCAATGGTATTGGCCTGAATCTTGTAATGAAAGTCTAATTTTACAGAAAGTTAAAGAACAGTAACCGTGCTTGGAATACAAGATTTCTTGCAGAAGTATTAGATTACAAAATGAATTTAAAACCGAATTCAGCTGAACACAAGAGCCTTATGTTTTTCGTTCTACCTTCAGCAAGAGGTTAAGTATTCTGCCGTTCAAGATGTATCGCTATTCTTAAGACTTCTTATCTGACAGCTAATACTAACTTCACTTCTGTCACTGATTTCATACATTGGTCCCTTAATCTATGTTACTCTAGTATCTATTCATCCATGTTACAATTTCATATTAAAGCTGCAGTCAGCATGTAGTCTAGCCAGTTAAAGAAATTAAATTTAAGCTTTTATATTCTGCTGAATTACATTTAATTCTTCCTGCCGATTTTTCAGAGAAACTTCTGCTGCTGCTCTATGTACATTAAGAAAACTAGATAGAAAAGCTCAAAAATACACAACAAACAAGCAGCAAAGAAAAAAAACACTCTTCCAAAACAATAGGTTAAGAATTTAGAGGCTGCTTTTTATTACTTGGCAGCGTCTCTTCAGAGCAAGAGCTTAAAGTGTATACACATATTGATCTCCTAAGATCACTCAATTTTGCAGAAAAACTGCTTTCATACTCACCATTTTTTTCAGCTTTCTCCCTGCTATGGGAGTAGCCTGGAACTGAAGAAGAAGGAGTTGCAGCATCTTCTGAGGGTGGTCCAGATTTATGACTGCTCTCACTACGGTCCACAGCAGCAGCATTCAGCTGGGACCTTCCAAGATGCAGTTGTGGTTGAGAGGGACTTGATGGAAGATCAGAATTTGAGCTCATTTTCGCTGCAAAAGAAGAGGGGTTAATCGTCAAATAGCAGAATCACTACATAAAAACAAAGTGAAATTTAAAATCTGAATCTGCATATACAGTTACAAAAAGTCTCGAAAATGAAAAGAATATTGCTAGCAACTTCAGGGTGTACAAATACATCCTTGAATAATTCCAAGCATCAACAGTTACTGTTGATTACTGACTGAGCACTTATAGTACTATACAAGAATAGCTACTGGCTTTATCCATTAACTAAATAAGAATTGATTTTTCAAGAATAGACAAACAGCTCACAATTAAATCCTGTAAATACTACATACAGACAACTATTTGAGTCTTAATTTTGCATATGCAAGAAAGAAATAGAAAATAGAAATATAAAGAATATATAAGAAATATAAAAAAGAACTGATATAAAGAATATATAAGAAATAGAAATAGAAAATAGAAAAAAGAAAATAAAGATTCACTCCTGAATTTTTTTATAGAACAATATCGTCCACTTTAAAACAATAGAAAAAAATTGACTTCATCCCAAGGGCCTGGTGCACAGTCACCACTGAAATCAAACAGCAGGGAAGGAAAAAAAAAAAAAAGGAGAAAAAAAAAGGTGAAAAAGCAAAGGAGAACTCTGAAACTGGAAACAAAAAGAGGAACACCACCAAAGATACTGTTTGTGGACACCTGGAAGCGAAGTATACAGAACGTCAAATAAGCTCTCATTTTATTTCCTACTTAGTCCATCAAGTAAATAGAAAACACTCAGGCAAGGAGTGAAGGCCCTATGATTCCCCACGAGAAAATGCCTTTTAACTCCCAGTGCAAATCCTCTCTGAAATGAGGCGACCTCTGTTCTGTAGAGAAGATTTCCTTAGATCAGTAAACTTGGTTACAGAATGCTTATCTTGTATCAGACAGAAGTTGGAAGGCACACATTATGCTACCACAGCATGACAAGGAATAACTCTCTCTGCTTGAAAGCAAGCCCCTTCAAATGAAGTAATTCATGACAAACACTGTAAGTGTTTGCTTGCCAACTATACCTTTAAAACAGCTGTCCAGTTCATTGACCTAAAGGTGCTTTTTCTCACAGAGGTGGAAGCAATGCAGCCAAACTCAGGGATACAATCCCTCACACAGCCAACAGCGTCACCTCCACTTAAAGAGCACCAAATCACGACAGGATGCTGAAAGCACCGAAAGCATTAACATGGCAAAATATTCTCCGCAGTTTAGACAACCTGCTTGCCAAAATGAAGCTCACATAAAAAAAATACTTTACTGAAAGAAAGAAAACGCATTTCTGTATTGCATCCCTATGTCAAGCTATAAATAAACCAACACAGTTCCACTCAACCACCCTTCAAACAAGCCCTAGGAAAGCACAGAGATTAAAATACTTTCCCAGTAGACCAGCATGAGTATTTTTAACCACTGTACAATCACAAAAGTTACTTTGCAACCCGTTTCCAGCTTGACCTTCCGGTGCGCTGTCAGCCGCAACACAGGTCTGCCTGCAAAGGGTGTCCTACCACACAGACAGGGCAACGAAGGCCGCCGTCCTACACGTGAGGCGAACAGGGAGAGACTTACCTCAGGCGCAGGCACTTCACACTGCTGTCTCAACAGTGCCTCCTACAAAGGACCTCAAGTTTCTCTGCGCCCACACTCTAATCCTTAACTTTGATTACAGCTCTTCCTCGCAAAGTTCGGGAGCAGTGCTGCAGGAGGAGCCGCCTCACATCCACTGCGGCCGGGCAGGGGCGCTGCCCGAGAGGCCGGAGGGTGTCCGGGCAGCGGCAGCAGCAGCAGCACTCCACTACCACCCCGGAAGGCCGCGGGTACCGGGAGGGAGACAGCAGCTCGCGCCGTCCTGCCCACGGCCCTCACTCCGGCCGCTCACCGAGGCGAAGCCACCGGCGCTACCTACCAACTCAAAGTTTCTCCGCGGCCGCCGGGCGCCGAGTGGGGCCGTAGCGGCCGCCCGCCGCCCTTAGGGGTGGCCCGGCCCTCCCCCAGCCGCAGCTCCTTCCCGCGGCGCCTCGCGAGCGGCCAGCGCCGCTGCCACTCATCGTCCCGGGGGCGGCTCCGCCGCTGGGGGCCGTACCGACGGGAGGCGGGCGGGCCGGGCGGAGGGAGGTGGCTTTGTTGGGGGTGGGTGTGGAGGAGTGCTTCCTGTGAGGGCGGTGAGGGTCAGCTGCGAAGCGGCGGTGTGGTGTTATGAGAAAGGGCGGGGCTGTATTCCTCCATCGGGAACAAAGGGGGCAAAGAGAGGAGGGGGCAAAATGGCCGTGATTGAGGAATTCATTATAATAAAATCTCTTAAAAGTTAGTACTGTCTGCTCGTGCTTGTACAGGGAGAGCTGCTGGCTTGCAGTGAGATGGGAGCTTAGGTGAGGGTTGGTGCGGTGTTGGTGCTTCTTTGTAGCAGCAATGCGCTGCTGCTTGGTTTTGAGCTGCCTAAAGGTAGATCAGTCTCTGGAGCATTTTTATGGAGCACTGTCAACAGCTTCTAGTTCAAAACGAAGCTCTCACAAACTCTAAATAGGAGCTTAAATTTAAACTGCACAGTAACTTAGTCATTAAGTTAGTCATTGAGTAAGTTTTTTGGAAGTTATAGTTTATAGCAGGTGAGAGAGCACTATGGTATGTTTAATTTTTAAGATATCAGGTCCTACTTCTCAGCCTGGAGAGGGCTCTGGGGAGATCTCTGAGAGGGGCCTTTTGGTGTGCAAAGGAGGGCTGTAAGGAAGAACAGGACAGGCTGCAGCAGGACCTGTGGTGACAGGACTGGGGGAAATGGTTTCTAAACTAAAGAAGGGGAGATTTAGATTGGATATAAGGAAGAAACCTTTTACGATAAGTGAAGTGCTAGAATGAATTGCCTGGAGATGTGGACGCATTGAGATCAGGCTGAATGGGGCTCTGAGCAACCTGATTGAGCTGTAGATGGCCCTTGCAGGAGATGTCCCTTGCAGGTGTTCGTTGCAGGAGAGTTGGACTAGATGGCCTTAAAAGGTCCCTTCTAATTCATACAATTCTATGATCATATTTGTTGATGTCACTGCCTTATATTTTTTCTATCCCCGAACAAAAATGTGATCCCCAGCACCTGTGCTTTCCTTTCTATTTCTTTACCTTGGAGTTCAGAAAAAAAATTCTAATTTTACCCAAAATAAGTCTCAACAGGAAGTTCAGCTTATTACTTAAATAATTTTTTTGTTGTTGTTGAAAAATAAACAACCAAACAACCCAGAAAGTCACTTTTAAGAAGATGCTTTTCCTCTCTGTATCTAATCCGGTTTTGTCAGGAATCTAAGTGTCTGCCTTATGTTATCAGCTCAGTTGTTTGTTCAGACTGACTGTGACCTAACTCAGATACAACAACTTTAACTGCTGCAATCTGCTCCTCCTGCTATTCACATTTGCTTTAAGCTATTACTCTATAAAATTGATTTGATATTTAGTGGGTGTGCTTAACAGATGTAGCTTGCCTAGGGAACAGGTGGAAATGAGGGTGGTAGCTGGAAAAACAACTATCAAGGAAGTGTAAAATAAGGCCTCTCTGTACTGCTTGTGTCTGCTTCTTTCCAACAGTTGGTATAAGCCATTCCTGAGGATCTTGGTTCAAATTTAAAACTATCTCCACTGAATACTACTCAGTTAAACATTGAAACTCAATGTAAGATATATTCACAGATTGTTTATAAGTGATGTGCAGTGTATATGCACATTTGTTTCATTGTTGAACTTGGTTAGCTCCTTACCTTAGAAAATACCACCTAAACCTCAACAGTGTCTTAACTGTCACACACACTTTATGTACTCAGGTATATAAATACACATAACGTAACTTGGAGTAAGCCAAACATAAGCATGGCATCAGCCACTGATATCAACTCCACTAACTTCACTTTGGCTCACGCCATATCACGTATGTTGGTTTGCATTCGGCATAATCACAGTTGCCAACTGCTTCAGTTAAAAAGAACAACCCTGGAAGTACTGTAATAACTCATGTCAGCACCTTTTTAATGTCAGTTATGTACTATGATTTAAAAAATCCTATTGTAATAAGGACAGAATAAAAGCTTGGTGTCCAGCCAGTTTCATCCAGCCCTTTTACAAATATTTTGTATACTTACAAAGTGATGTTGACTCTGTTTTCTGTAAATGTTGTTTGCTCAACATATAATAAAATGTAAGTGATCACATGAATGTCCTTATGTCATAGGGCTACAGGCTGAAATTAACTGCTTTTCCATAGGATCATCAAGGAATCCTAGAAACATGATCAGAGACTTCCAATGATGTCAGCAGCTCATAGCCTCTGTTAAGCTGCACTGACACTGGAATGTGATACTAAATTAACATCTTCACATTCTGTTATGAAATTTGTATTCTCAGATTTTGGTGTGATTGTACTATTTCAATGTTTTTAAAAAGTCTGTCACTCAGAATATTTAATTTACAACTGTAAAGAGACATGGTCATACTGAGCACTATTACATAGAATGTTTTGTTACTAAATCAATCAATTCAAACTCATTTACCCATCATTATCATAGAATCACAGAATGGCTTGGATTGGAAGGGACCTCAAAGATCATCTAGTTCCAACCCCTTGCAGTAGCCTAATGCTAAAGTGAAATCACATTTGTTGTATTGTTGGCATATAAGTTTTTCAGCAGCCCAGAGAAAAACTTTTAATCAAGTGTTTCCTAAAATGATGAAAGAACAAAGTGACAATCCATGAAAATTAACTTGCATGAAGTATGAATCATTCCAGTGAACAGTCTTCGACTCTGTTTGGCACAGTAACTCCAAAGAAGTCCGTTTCTTTAGTCCACAGTACAGTAAGAAACAGATTTGATGTAATTTGTCTGGATGTGTCCAGAATATGTTAATACTAGCAACAAAAAAAAAGAAAACAGAATTGTCAGCAGTTGTGAGAGTATAGAGGCTGAAAAATCTGGAGAAAATTGCCATGTGCACCTTCTGTAGTTACATGTTATGAAAGGTACATTAAATAAGAATATCTAAGTGATGCTAAATAAGCTATACTTAAAGATGTCTCAAACATCTTTGCTCCACCTTTCCAATTAAGAGATGTTGTTTTGAAATAATAGGTTTTGTTTTTTACTTTGTTACACCTATTTTAACAGCATAATTTGATTGATGAAGGGATTATATCAGCATAAAATTAGCGCAATAAAAGCTCCAGCATGCTTCATGAGCAGCTTGAGATACTATTGTTTCATTAGGCTCTAAGGACCAACCTGCAAACAGACTCTTTTTTTTCAGGCTATGTGTAAATCTAAAGCAGCAATCATCTTCTGTCAGAAATACTTAATTCATACTTAATACTTCAAGGCACAGTAGAATCTAGACAGATATAGAATCCAGAAATTGAATGATGCGATGTCAGTAACTAGCATGTAAGTGCTATTTGGGATGGATATTTAGGAGGAAGAATTAGTAAAAAGCAAGGGTGGGAGGAAATGGAAAGAAAAACATAGAAAGGCAGCCTCTAAAAGCAGGTAAAAATAGTGAGTGGGGAGTTCTGTGAAGATTGGGGATGAAGAATCTTGTCAGATCTGCATATTAAACGTAACACTTCAGAGTTAGAAGAGCTTTTGTGTAAAAACTGTTTTCATGTGCATAAATACATAGGGCAGTGCGAGCATCTCTCCCTGCCCATTGCTCACTTACCTTTATCCCAATGTCCTTTTGCCTCTTGGCAAGGCCACAGGCAAGTAATAACCAGCGTCACTGCATTATAGAAATGAGCAATGCTGTAGCACTCCCTCCCATAAGCTTTCCCTGCTGGGAGAAAAGGGTCAGCCTTCTCCTCATGAATACCTATGCTCCAGGTCAGTTGCATCATATGTTCAGTTCTGTATTTATTCCCCAGCTGTTTTCTTAGTCATGGACATATGCTGTGAAAAAGGACAAGGTTTTAAAGAGATGCCAGCAGCAAACTCACAGGTGATAGTTAAAGCTGTAAATGTCCAACAGGCTTTTCTAAGGTAACTCATTTCCTAAAGGAGGCGAGAAGAACGTGCTCCTCTTTTGGTTCCTCAGATGTTCCTGCTTGTTCTTTTGACAGCACAACCATGTGAGAGCAACTGATTTCATTGCTGTGCAATGTGCACACAGTGCAAATCAAACTTAACTTTCTAAAGCTTGATGCCGCATCTGAATTGAAGTTTTATTCATTTTATTCTGCTACCACCTAGAGGAAACGGCAGTTTTCGAAGAGTGGGAAAATATTATCTCAGACCTTTATGCATGAAAAAAACCCAAAAAACCAGTAACAGGTATGAATAGAGTCTGTGAATGTATCTTGAATCAAGTTGGTGCTAGCACAGATTAAATTTGGTCTAAAATGAAATTTGACATCTTCAGACACTGAGAATAGCTTGGTAGATGTAACTTTTTACTCAAGAGTTTCTACAGAGTTTGTAAATAAATGAGGTTGCCCTAAGAAGTACCATGGCCCTCCTTGAGCTTGTAGCACAGATGAGTTTGTGTCATCCTTTCAAATTGCAAAGTGCTCCACAAATGTCCTGCAAACTGATTCATTACTGTTCATTCCTTTGCACTGTGAACATAATCTTGCTCACAGTGACCTCTAGTGTAAATGAACAAAACAATTTGGATACTGCAGTGCATTAATTTCAGGCAGAACAGCAGTTGCAGATCCGATCTAATGCATGTAGGACGTAATATGGAGCTGTTACCTGTTTAAAGAAACATGCATGTATGCCATCTGTTTGACTAAATAACAGACTGTTTTACCAATTAAACAAGCATGCAAAGAGTGAATTGAAAACTGTAAAACCAAAAATATTCCTTCAGCCATAATAAATAAATAAATAATATTTTAAAATGTATTTAAACAAACAACAACAACAAAATAGTGTGATTCGGATAATTACCATCATTCCCAAGTGAAAGAGTTTGCTCTTACT